GGAGAGCACAGTACAAGAGTAATCAGAAATAGTAGTAGAATAAACAAGGGTGTCCAGCCTCTTCGGTTCAGGGAGGTGTAGTATCATATGCAAATGAGAATGACAACATAAATAGAGAGCAGAGCATGAACAAGGCAGCATTAGTCAACAAACCAGTTTGCTAAATGTAACGTGAAGAACTGTGTTATGATTGTTACTATAGAGAAATACATATCACAACACAAACATATGTGATAATTTTCACACTGGTAGGTCAAATCAGTTCCCAGCTGTTATGCAGAGAGTTTAGACATGCAGTGCTTGCTCATCGGATTTTTGTTTTCATGCAAGATGACCAAATGCACTGAGCAGAGACATTGCATCAAGTTTTACCAAAAACTTGATAATGCTCAAGCTTAAAGTATCCAGAAGATTCCTCAGGTCTTTAGCAATAATGCCTTGGGGAAAAAGAGTAGTACCACTGCTTCAAACATGACTACACCTCAGTAGAAGCTAGGCATATGCAGGCAGGCCATTCACAAGTCAAAATGAGCTGATTGAGAGAAGGTTTGGTGCATAGTCATGGAAGACTGTCATATAACAACACAAGAAATTGCTCACAAGGTAAGAATACACAAAGGATTCCATTTTAATGAACGATCTGTGCATGTGAAGAGTGTCAGCAAAATTCACCTGTGCAATCCACTGGCATAATCAAAACTTTCCTGGTCAAGAACAACACACCACTTGTTCAACAGGTGCTTCCTACTCTTCCTTAAACTGAATACAATGCTGAAATGGAAGTGATTTGAGTTGCAATAGGAAATTATGAGAAAAGTTATGGCAAAGCTTTGAAGGCTGGGAGAAGTGTATAAACTCCCAAGGAGATTATTTTGAAGGTGATAAAATATAATTTGTGAAAGTACAAAATTTTTTTTTTTTTTTATCCCCAAAGAATGCACCTCATACACTCTGTTACAAATTTACCAAGTCAGGAATCTGAGATAATCAATAACTGTTTTTGGTTATTTTATCTGAGCTATGCAAAATTATGTGATGTTTCATAGAATCATCAAAATGATTATGTGAACTTTGTTCAAAAATAATTGTTTGAAAACAATTATTGGAAAGGACAATTATACTAAATGATAATTATTCAAAATGCAAAATTCTTTATTGCAATAAAAATGTAAAAATTAAGAGGAAATACACAAATGATAATTCAAAATACAAATATCATTAATAAAACAATTTAGTAAGAAAAAATCCTTATAACCTTAAGTTATATGATACTGCACTCAAATAGCCAACAACTGAAGAGTACTCTTTAAAAGATGGTACTAATTTTTTAAGTTTTCCATTTATGTCAAGGTATTTCTTGATGCTTTTGATATTTTGGCAACCTGCTCTTACTTTTGCAACATGAATTTCTTGCAAGTCCTGTTTTTTTTTTAAGAGCGTTTAAGAATTTCCATATTGTGAGATGATAGGGTGATACTTGCTACAAAAAAGCCCTATGTCATCCTTCAAGAGTGTTACTAGTTCTAGGTAAATCAGCATTGACTCCCTCAAGTCAAGACCACATACGTATTTCAAATGTAGATATTTCAAATAATTATCATTTAGTACAATTGTCCTTTCAATTAATTTTCTTTCAAACAATTTACAATTCAAATAGATTTTTTTTTGTATAAATGTTTTCAAACAATTTTCTCAATACAAATAAAAGCATATATTTGGGATTGAAATCCTTCCTGAATAACAAAAATTTAATGGAAGTTCCTCATTGTTTGAATTTTCAGTTTCAAAAGGCAACAACAGCTTTCCATCAGAGAAACAGTGACATTCAAGAACACTTGAGATAGCATTAAAATTTAGTTAATTTAGTTAATTGCCCAAATAGATGTAATCTTTCTTGGATACAGCATTTTTTCCATTCTAGATATTACAGCCATGTACAACTATATCTGCAGCCATCAGTTTTTCTATTACAATATCTAATGATTTTTACATCAAAACACCAAATCCATGTTGCTTTTCTCCTTCAGTTCCAACTCAATGTTGCCTTATCAGCCCAGACATACCTCTTGAATACACACAATGTCAAGGTTTGCATTGTTGCATTGCTCTAGAATTAAATTTATCCTGAAATCATCAGAATCTGATTGGACATTGATTTAGCCTATTTTCCATTTGAAAAACTTTTGAAGTTCATTTGATTTCATTTAATTTTTTAATTATTGTAGATTGATCAGGTGGTTGGTTAAACCTTTTCTTCCCAGTAGTAGATATTTTTACCTCAGCATAGTCAGTCACCAAGGGACATGACCTTTGATAACCCATATGATGGACAATGCATTATTCAATTTAATTACTTGGCATTGTCAAGAGGTCAATGCAGTTGGTTTTATATGAGTTTGCTTCTCTTAAATAGATGACCATTAACATGGCTAATGAGCTATATCCCATTAGTTTACATCAGAGTTTTCCTTCTCCTAAACAAATTGTTATCACCATTACACCTATACACACAAAAATAAATTTATATTAGGAAAGGTAAAAATTTATGCAAATGAAAAAAATAGATGCATGCAGGTTATGGCAAAAGTACTGAATCTCCATGATTTTGAAGTTTCAAATTCCAATCAAACCAATCAAAGCTGATGGCAATGAAATCAAAGCATTACTTGAAAATAAGGTTCTACAATGGTATCCAGCATATTCAAAATATCAAAATCAAGTGTTGAAAATCATTTGCGCCAGTTTAGGTATTTCAGTCACTTTAATGTGTCAGTCAAGCAAAAAAGAACTATTTAACTGTACTTTATTTGGTACTTGATACTTTAAAACAATGTGAAATGCAAAAGATTTTGAGGTGAGTGAAATGAACCACTGTTAATAATACTAAATGCTGGTTTTCATCTAAAAAGAAAAAAAAGTGATGCTGTATATAAGGTGGGATTGGAAGTCATCTAATAAAAGTTACTTCTGAAGATGGAAACAATTGATTCAAATGTACACCCTTGTGCAAATGAATTGAAACAACTGGTTTAGTTTCCTTTCTTTCATCATACAGTCAGTTTTAGACCCACTGGAGTGACAAGGTGCAATTGATTTCTATTTTTCTTCAGATTAGGTCATTTGCAATGGTGTGCAGTAATATGAATCTATTTTTGGGGTGTATGAAGAAATTTGTTTGGCCTTGAAAAATACTGCATCATCCATGATTGCATCACACCCAGGCACTATTGTCTGGACTGTCAATTAGTTATCCTATGGCCATTGTCTGCAATGGATGTTACACCAAGGAAGTGTATGAAAATTGTAACACTCCTTACCAGTGAGCAAATCAAAGTATTATAGACTGGCCCAGAAACTCTCCTGATTTAAATCCAATTGAGAATCTGTGGTCAATCTGCAAGGAATGACTTTATGGAATGGACATACAAAGTACTAACATTTGCACTGGGGCATGTTTCATTGGAAAAATATGAAAACAAAAAAAAATAAGAGAATTATTTGTTTTGTTTCAATTAATTTGCACAAGGGTGTATAATATTTCATCAGGTTGATATCAGACCATATTTCTTTGAGTACCAGACAAACATTTTTACAGCTTGGCTAAAAAGTTTTCATTCATCCGACATATTCAACAGTTATTCCACATTCTAATTTATTCCGATGTTTTTACAGAATTCTCTTAATGAAAAGAATTTCAATTCCTGGGAAGACTAAAAAGCAGTAGAGTATTTTATTCATTATTTCATCTTTTGATTTTTGTTTGCATTGAAAGATAAAAGTTCTAGAAGATGGAATTATAAAGTTACTCAAAAGATGGCAGAAAATAGTGCAAGAAAAATGATAAATGAAGCTAATTTTGAAAATCAATTTTTTTTTACTTTTTATATGAAGTGAAAAAACTTTTTATATTATACAATAAATAAAATTAAGTTGTAAAAGTGAATAAAACAGTTTTAGAATACTTTTACAATGATCACATGCATACACACAAAACATGTCAGGTGCTAAAAGTTCTCAACTTGACCAAAAAGCCCTTCTTCCAAAATACTGATGTTTAGTGTGAGTCATGCAAAGAAGTTTTCAATACCCACTCATTATATATAAAATGAGAGAAAGAGAGGTAGGTTTGTGTAAGTAATTCAGAACAAGTTGTAAAGAAAAAATATATTCAGTAAATTTAAAGTTTAGTATATTTTCTACAAAATTTGTACAAATGTTCAACTATAAAAAAAAACAAATAACACGCACACACACAAAAGTTATTCAATAGAACTACTAGTAGGCTTGACATGACCTTGGAAATGGTTGCATGTCCACCCAGATCAGGTGATTCTCTTTCATGTTGGCCCACATGTTCACAATGATGGGCTTTAACAATTCTTTGGTATTGTGGGAACACAGGTTTACTTCGTTTGTCAAGACACTTCAAATTCAAACCAAGAGAGCTAACAGATCACATGTTGGTGGATGATGATGGCAAAAATACTAGGCCAGCCATCCAAAACTTGACTACTATGTCCAGCACTCAATGACTCTGAAGCAACAAAAAGTAGGATATCATGACATTATATTTTATTGCTCATGGCCTCAGGACCATTACAGGTGACATGGACTTTGTGTATCACTGTGGTTAAATCTACGAGGTCCACATACAGCCACAAATACAGAATGATTATTTCTTTCTTGTGACAGACTAGAAACTGTCATGTTCTTGATATATGTGAATAAAAAATGAGAATAAAATGAGAATATTAAAATTTGTTGCATTTCTTTTATGTTTTTACACATACCTGATGCATCTTATGAGTTTATAAAACATCTATAACACTATAATTCTATAAAGTGTATAATTAAATAATTATTATAACATTTATTAATGATAATATATATGTATGCGAAAATATTTTATATTAGTAAGTCATTGTGGAAAGACAAGGGCATTTTTAAACAAAATCAGACAATAAAAAGGCTTAACAATGATATTGTGAAAGCCAACTAACCGATGGGCAAGTCCAGCATTTTGTGCAGCTAAACTTGAAAGATCGATGAGTTTTGTGAAGCAGCTAATCAGGTAAATTGTAATGAATGCATTCTGGGAAAAAAAAAAAAAATGAAGTTTAGTAGAACCAAATACTTATGGAAATTAAACAATATTTGCAATCTTATGAATATAATCAGTATAAATAACAATGTTTCCTTTTCAGTTATTTTATTAGAATGCTACTAATGAAAATATTTCAAAATTTAAGAACTTACATTCATTTGATGATAATGACCAAAATAAAGGCACAAAGCCAAAATATCCTGCAAACTTGTATATCACTAGTTATCTTGATATAAGCACATGATGGAATTTAGTAACAAAAAGGTGAGAGTGATGCTGTACAAGTTTCATTCCTAAACAGAAGTTTTATTCAGTAATAAGTTGTAGCTTAATTGCATATTGTGTATGTATGGTTTGTCAACTTCATTTATGTATATACAAGGAAAATAAATACTTATAAAAGTATTTTGATAATAAAATGATTCAACACATATTTTTACATACAATTCACTAAATAAAATAAAATTCATTAAAACCAATGCAAAATACTATCCTAATATCATCTGTTCAACAATTTGATTGGAAATGGTCTGGACATCTTGGAAAAGTGGTATGAATATTTTGACAACTCAATAACCTCAGATTCATTTATGTTGCATGAAATGACAATTATATCACAATCCCATTCTAAATTCATATTTTCCCTTAAATTTTACTATATGGAAGAGAGATGCTATAAAGGAAAACAATTATTTACTTAAACTAGCATTATTTTCTCTACATATAAAAATCAAGTTGGGTTATCTTTAAAATTGTTCAATTTACCATTTTCTCAAAATTATTTTACAAAAAAGTCATTAACCTTAGATATTTCTTCAGAATAAAACAATTATAAAGGAGAAAAATTAATAAAGAGAATGTGATTTTTTATAATGAGAAATGGTACTTACAGAACTGATGAGAGCAGATAATTGAACTGGTGTCAGGTCATCAAAGTGGCCAGTAAAAATTGGAATTGCTAATATAATGTAGTTCAGAATAGACCCAATGTAGTCATAAAATTTGACAGAAACTGAAAACAAATATAAATAAAAAACGATTAAAATGTATTTTCTGTGCTTCAAGAAATAAGACATTAACAAATATTGCCTCATTGACCATTTAATTAAAACATCACACAGAACTTGTCAAAGTCTCTTTAGTCTAATTAATTACCCATTCTTCTTTAAGTATTCACTGAATTTTTAATTGAATTATCTTTTGCTCATTTTGAATTATATATTTGTCCTTGTTAACAAAACTTAAATTAATATTGTGGCAACAGATTTTATTTATAAAAAGTACATCATCAATAGAAAAAGTTTGAAAAGAACTGCCCTAATTGAAATTCAAAAACACATTAATGGATTTTTCAGCTTTATTCTTTCTTATATATTTGAAGGTGCTGATATTTTTGCTTCTAGCTTTATCTAATAACATATTTTATTGGAAATATGACTCCATAACATTTTAATTGGTTTTAATTTAAACTTTTGTTAGACTGCTTCAAATTAGATCTCTTTCTGATTCACTCCACATCAAAATCTGTCAGCCAGGTGTGAACATTACAGAAGTAAAATTAAAAATAAAAATAAGTTGCTCTTTACACAGGGACTCCAAGCATCACACCCAACTTACAAAATAAATACCCCCCACCCACCAAAATATAAAATACAATGTAAAAGAAACCAATTACAAAGATTGCTGCTAAAGCAAAAGTATGACAAAAAGAAAACCTGAGTCATGATCTAACCCAGGATGCCACTCATAATACTGAAGGTAGTCACAGGCATCACCACCAGTGACCTCAGTCAATCAACTTGACATAAGCATCAACTCCAGTCCCTACCAACTCTCCTCATCCTCCAGGTCATTTTCCTCACCAACAAAGAGATATTCAGCCTTGATCCCCTATATCAGCAATACAAAGAATTTTATCTTAACAACTCTTGTCTTCTCTTTCTACCTCACTGATGATACTTTCACATTTTGTTTGTTCTCTCATGCAACCATATGCAGTTATAACACCCTTACGTTCTGAATAGACATTATGGCTTAAAGAAATTTAAACTACTGTTACTCTCAAACAATAGATGTGTGCATGGAGGTTTCATTAAAAAAATACATAGATGCAGTTATATTTATTTGTGTGTGTATGTATACATATTTGCAATTTCTTTCACAAAAGATGATTACTTTCAGATTGACCTCCAAAATTTACATTTACTGGAAAAAAATATTAAAAAGGTGAAAACAGGTGATTTTTATACTGACATGTGAGCGCATATTTCCTCTGGGCCAGTTTGTACTGAACTTCAAGAAGGTCAAATAATTTGGCATTGGTTTTAGAAAGTTCTGTCATGCCAGGCTGATAAAAGGCCATTGATTCTGCATTTACTCGGATCTGCATGTGTTTAAATCTAATTACAAATAAAGACAAGAAAATCAACAATACTAAATATTGTTTTTTATAAGAAAAAAATTATTTAAAGTTGCTTTCAAAAAAATCCCTTTAAAGAACCAGTGAAATTTTCAAAGAGAATATGATTTAAGAAAATTTTAAATTCATAAACATATAATTAAATAACTGAAAAACCCTTATTTACAATTTTAAATGTTGGCTTACTTATTTCAGAATGTATAATATTGATAAAAAAAAGTTTTAAAAAATAGATTTACCTTAATTTTTTATGAATTAAATGAAATATTTTTACAAAAAATATCTCTTGTCTTTTGTTGGTTTTTTTTTATTCAACTCTTATTTTACTGAATGCCAATATTATCAAAGGTTTGGCATTAGGATTCATTATCACTGAATGACAGAAACAGAATTTTCTGTTTGAATAGAATCACTAATAGATCCATGAGTAGTAATTTGACAAACAGTATATATGATTTAAAAAAAAAAAAAATTTCACAAGATTGTGTACCATGATTAATGTCATAAGAAATATTAAAGTAACTATTTACATAAACATTTTATTTTATGACAAAGACCATTACAAATAAACTCGTAAATGTTTACATTTATTTTTCAAATCTTGGAAAAGAAAAAAGAACTTACCGGAAATCCCCTTCAAATTTTTCTTTTTTGTAAACATAATTGACAACAGGAGACATAAGAAATTGATTAATAATTGTAGCAAACAGAAAGAAAACGACAACAATGACTGGACCCAGGTAACCAGTCCTGCAAAAGAAGAAAAAAATACTTATTTATAATGAATAATGATATGACTAGTGTTATGCTTTCAATAAGTGGCATTCCCTATTTAACCACCGCATAGATCTTACTATATAATAAATAATGTTTGCATTCTATTAGATAGGTTTCAGTTTTTAAAAAACTTTAAACTTTTTAAACTTGGACAGTTATCAAGACAAATTAACATTTGCCTTGATAACTCTCCAATTTTTTGTTCTCTCCATTGAAGCCAGGGATTAAACTCACAACTCTTTGGATCAATCAACCAACACTTATCTACTGGGCAATGTGTCCCAATGTGTCCCAAGTGACACCTTTTCACAACAAATATACAAACTATATATACTTTCACATTCAGATATGTTTCTCCATCCAATTTGAGGCTTACAACTATACCACATTGAAACATCAGTTCTCATATGATAAGTTAAGCAATGCCAAGCCTGGTCAGTACATAGAAGAGTGACTACTTGAAAATACCAGGAGCTGCAAGCTTAGAAATGCAAATAGTGTAATGGGTTATGGCTCAGAAAATCAAAGAGCTGAATTCAAATTCCAGTCGAGTTCGCAATATTCACTTATGTTCAAATACTCTTGTGAAAGGTATGAATCCACCAGCTATGGGTTAATTACTATGGCTTGTATCAGTAAATCATCATTATCTCAAAAAAATTCTTACAATCTAAAAACATTTTCTGGCTTTAAATAACCTGAAAAAGATTGATAAAACAAATCAATCAATAAATCATCCAATTTAGAATATTATTTAATCCAAGCCAACTCTACCCACATTTGTTGAGCACCAAGCAATAGATAAGCTAACAAATAATTGCATTACAGTGAATTCAGTCTTTCCTTGACACCTATATGTGCTTATTACATCAACTATCATTCCCTCAGAATCATTGTTCTCTTTATCTATGGAGTTCTCTCTCCTATAGCACCTTCTTGTTGACGTTGGTGTGTTATGCGACATCTTTATATCTTTTGATCAAGGAACTTACACCAAGTGACTGAGATAAGTTAATCTATACTATATTCTTTAAAAAATAGGGTATATAATTGGATTTGTAATGTACTGATGAGAGAAAATGTGATGAGATAAGCCATCCGTGTTAGGGTAAAATAGCTGAAGTGAAACCCAAAGAGGAACAATACCACAGAACAGGTACAGTAAAATGTGTGGGTGCTGGGTACTTACATTTTCACAACTTGCCAAATGTAATATCCGGTAATGAAAGGTGAAATGATAACAGGAGCAAATATTTGGCTAAAAATGTTGCACATGTTGTCCAGATCCTCAGCAATTCGTTGGTCCCTACAATTTAAAAAAATTGCTTTACAGTAAATTAGTACAAGACTACATTTAAAGAACAATCTAATTAGCAAAATTAGTAGCAGTGGTTGCTTTTTCTAAGAACTGTTCTTTTAGCAGATTATTTAATGGAAAATCTTTTTTCTCAAAATTTATAACCAATTTGATACTTCTTAAATTAGCATATTGTTTCTTCATGCTTACTCACATCAATACACAGACTTATTTTTATTAGAATATTATATCCTTACATTATGGATGGTGACAGATCTAGCTAGTTTGAAATGTAATTAATCAGATTTGAATTTAAAAGCAAATGAGTCGATTAATTTATTTAATATTGGCTTGGTAAGAAAGTTTTAAAGTACTTTAAACAAACTTGTATTTCTTAGATAGAACTATTATTTAATATAATTGTTACTATTTTGTCTACATATATATAAACCATGGATTCCTTTTCTTGCCATAGAATGACATTATTGAAAGTCCTTATCATTCAGGAATTTTTGCAGGGAATAAGTTTGTATTTAAATGGATAAATAGAGTGTGTCAGAACTTCTCATGTGCAAGTTTTTTCCCATACAAATCAACTGTGTAATGTATAGTTCCATATTGACATGCAACAAGTGGATAACTCCACCATAGAGCTATGGATTAAATAGAGTAGACTGTGTTTTCTAGACTTGGGTGGGAGATAGACTAAGAGAAGACCTCTGAATTCAAATCAGGGCAAATTTGCTACAATGACATCTTCCTTATTTATCCTCTGCATGTGTGGCGTGTTTGTGTGTATGCACCACTTTCCATCAGTTATAATGATGGTGACCATACATACACTTTAGAGAATTTAAAGCTATGCATCTCCAATGTTTGTCCACTTAGAGGTTTGTCTCATGTCAAAAGTTTTCACCATTGAAATTGTTATGATGTTGGTTTAGGGTTAGTAGAGACAAACGCCAAATAACACGTAACAATAAAAAGGGTTTTAATAGGTTAGTAAAAAGGTACAGAAATCGCCTGAGTAGTCAATAACTAGCTCAGCTAAGAACTTCTCTGTCTATCTGTCCCCCCCATGTCAACTGACATGCCACTATTTAAAGTCTTTGTTCAAAGACGCAGACAAGTTCATCTTCAAGAGGGGTGGTAGGTTTCCGACATAACAGAAATTTAGCAAACTGCACCCCTTGAACTGAAAGGTTTTGTAAACATTCTATGCTTGAAACTTCTAGAACTTTCTGTAATGTTCAGGAAATTACCAACATAATATCTTTCCTTTCCTTCAATGTTGAAAATGTCAAAAATCATTTTAATTATTATCCTTTCTCTTGTGTCAATCCACAAGACAAACATGCAAAAGTTAAAAATATTCAATCATTCTTTTACAAATTAGGTGTAATAAGATTCTAGAATGGTACCATGGCACATAACACTAAAGTCTCAAACTTGTTAATTCAATAAAATGTCATACCTCATCATAAAGTCAACCAAATCTACCGCAGAGCAAATATAGTTTCTCCTATACTTTTTCTTAATAATTAAGATAGCATATGTTCATTATATGTGTAGCATGACTTGAATTCTACCTTTGGATAAGATCACCTGATCAAAACTTGGCTAAGATTCTTTGCACTGAGATTCCATTATACTGCTTGGAAACAGAGGTCTTGAACTGAATTTACAGAGCATGGTTTGAGAAATATATATAATTATTACTATCATGGACATATGTCAGATTACACCACTTTGACAAAGAACTTTAAACAATAATGCACAAGATTTTTTCATGCTGCCAAAATTTAAATGAAACACCATTTTTCTTTGTATATTTTCATTCTTCACAAGTTTTAACATTTCACTAATGAAAGCTGAAGCAACTTACGGATTGTCAACATTTTTGTCAAGAATGTTGACATAGTAATAGAGAACATCAGTGAAATATTCCTTGTGAAGAGAGGTGGTTAACTGTTGGCGCCACCAAATGTGCAGTATTGATGTCACATACGTAATAGTACTACTGAGCTGAAAAAAAGAAAAAAAGTGTTAATAAAGGGAAACAATTTTAAACAGTGAATTTCCTTAAATTCAAGTCATTTCAAAACCAAAACCAAATACACTTGTTTACACTAACTTTGGATTTCCATACATTTAAAAATCTTATGTGAAGTGAATTGTAAGCTTGTATAAAAATTAAGTAAATTCTAACTGCTTGTTGCAAACTTGTTTAAATTTGAATATATCAATGATTTAAAATGTCATCAAGTTATTTAATTTTTCTTCTTATGTTCAAAGTAATTCCTTGCACAATATTCTGGTTAGCCAACATCTAGTACAATTAGCAGATGAATTGTCAGGCACAAACATTTTAAGAAGTGGTTTCATAGATAAATTTTTAGCAGAATATAGCAAGTTAAAAATGATGGTCTTGTGTATTCTAGCTTATTAAAATGTTTAGATTAAAGTGTGCAACTTGCTATTAACATGACTGATTTTTTTTAACAGTATATAAAGCATTGTGGGTTATTTAAGGCCAAAACATATTTTGGATTGTATTTTTTTTTTTTTTGCGCAAATGAATATTGCATTACCATATTTTTCTTTTGAGAATAACAATGATTTTTCCAGATACAAATCCTTTGCTGTCAGATTCACAAAGTTTCAGCTCTGGCCTTCTTCAAGTGATATATGTTGGAATTTCAAACCAAAGAAGGACACCATAGGAGGTGATGAAAATTTAAGTACATTAATTTTCACTGTAAATGCAAATGTATACAATGGTGGTTCTGAAGAGTTTTCAACCTACCCCACTTCCCAAAATCTGACCAAATATAAAATTTATATTTTGGGAAAGGGATTCTTTTCATCACCTCCTATTGTATTCAGTGAACATAAAAAAAGGTCAATGAGCTCACTTGAAATCTAGAAACAAAAATGGCATCTAAAGAAAATTATATAACTGATTTTAGCATTAGTCAAAGCATTAGATTAAAAATGCTATGAATAAAAATAAAGTATGATAATGAAAACTTACAAAAGCTTCTGTTAAAATAAATAGAAGTGTTTTTAAAATAAGGTCTTTAAAACTTTCTCTGTCTTTGTTGCCCAAGACTGTGTAATAATTTGATGGCAACAAACCAATTTTGTTGATGACAAATTGCTCTGTAAAGGAAAATAGAAAGAATTTAAAAAACTTTAACCTTAAAAGAAAGCCCTAAGTTCTGACAGACATGTCAATCATCATGAAAAAATATATTATAATGCTGGGAATAACATGAATAAATATTGAAATATTAAAAATTCTTTTTAAACAAATATTAATTACATAATTATTATTCAAATTATTAAAAATAAAACCATAAAAAGTCAAACTCAATTTTATGCAGCTAAAACTTTACATAAAGAATTAAAAATATCAAATATTATTTAGAAAAATAAATTAGCTTGAAGAAAATTGTCTTTTTTTGACACTGAGTCATTACAAACGGAAATAAATTAAAGAGATTTAAAAAAATAAAATTATAAATTAATAATAATTATAAATTAAATGACCCAGTATAAAAAAAAATCACATTAGTGTTGTCTAGTGTTTTCAGCATCCTTTTTCCCTGATTATTAAACCAAAGTTCTTTGGCTCATATAGTTAGCAGCAACAGGAAGCCTATTCAATCATCCAAAATATAATTTTATTGTGTATTCACTTTCTATTAATGTAGGTAACAGTTCAGCACATCCATATCAGAAGCCATATTAACTTTTGGTCTTCTTTACTCTCATTCTTTGGCATCTTAACTTATTGCAATTGCTTAAAGAGGATATGCAAGTATTGTAACAGATATCAATGCAGACAATGGATTCAGCAAGCCAATTTGTAGATATTGAAGAAAAGGAAGCTGTAGAGGCCCATGATCACTTAAATCCTGAAAGAACATGGCATTATTAAAAAAAATAAAGATTAAAAAAAATAAAGATTGCCTAGAAATACCTATTGAAATAGGTTTTTGTTTTTTTAATAATCCCCAGATGTAGGTTATATTAAACTAATTTTGGTACAAGGTTACATGAATACATAAGATGCTATATATAAGATAGTAAAAATAAACTAAATCATATTTTGTGGCTCCAAGAAAAAAAGTATCCTTGAATCCAGTTTCAGTCATTCATTAGACAATAAATTATTAATAGTGTGAAATGGTAATTAGGTTTGACTAATATTTAGTTTCATCCTAATTTTAGTAGCATATTAAACATGGTTTTCCCTGAAGCCAAAAAAAGTTTGAATTTCACTGAGGTTTTATCTTTTTTATTTCCAATCAGTGCCGTCTGCTCAATGCAGTAAATTGATGGCCTGAGTAAAGTTGTAATAAAAAATAACTAAAAGAAAATGAAGATGAAAATACTTATGCATGTATTTATGTGCAGTGTGACCACCTGAAATTTTTTTGCATGGATTTTAACCCTTCCAGAAAATAAATTACCTGTGTATAGTGCAACTGGTCACCAAAAATGCATGATTTTTAACCTCTTCAAAAAAAATTACCTGTGTGTAATTCAATCCACTATATTTTGCATAAAAAAACTGATCATAAAATCTTGCACAATACATGAGTATATACAGGAAATACTAGTCAAAATGAATAATAATTGTTGACAATGTTTCATTGACTAAAGTAATCTAATGCTGCTAGTAATTAGGTCGTTACATATTTATAAACCTTTTACTGAATACCCCCTCTACACCCGGAACATTGTCTTTTGTTTTTTTTCTATCTATTCAGTCACTACTAGTAACAAATAGTATCCCTTTTCCCAGTTTATAACAATATTACAAGGCATATTAGTCAAGGAAAAGTGTATGATTGGAAGCAAAAAGCATAAAGAATGACATTAGGTTGAATTTGTCATCGAATAAGCTTTATTTGTGGCCGATACACTAAATATAGACTAAAACTGAAATCAAGGTCATTAGTAGAGGGCAAGAAAAAAAGTGGAGCCCACAGAAGATAGTTTGTTATTATTTTTTTTTTTTTCATACTTCAACCAAAACTTTTAGAAACCTCATTACTTTATTCTATAGGAAATCAATTTATTTCATAATAAAAGGTTAAAACTAAAATGTAGTGTTCTCTTTCAGGCATGAACCTAAGGAAGAACAATTCATAGAATAGAAAGCTAAAGAACTTAGGGATAAAAAAATATCCATAAATTTATCTTAAGCAAATTCAATCTTTAGTACAGTGATATTGTGATGTTACCCCACTTGTCTTCCAAGGAACTTCTGACAACTGTTAAATGACATTGCCAATAGAATGGAGCACAAAATCTCATCTTCTGTGTATTTCTTTTTCTCTTTTAAGCATGAAATGCCTTAGGGATAGGATGGGCCCTGTTCCTTTATGGTGACTTTTCAGTAATTCAACAAAATTTATATTACATTGAACACAATAGCACATTGCATACATGACTATGCATAAAAATGTCTAATAATTCTACCAAACCAACAAATAACTTTTCTCAAAATATTTGACAATTTTTCTAATAAACTTTGCACACATACATATTTAAAAGGACATCTCTACAAAGAGACTTTCATTCAACCTTTTTGAATGCCTTTCTATTTAGTTTATTTTGTATCATTAATAACCACAAAAGCATATTTTAGTCATTATTAATAATGGAAGAAGACAAAGTATGTTTGAAATATGATGTACATACCTAGGAGTGAAAGACACAAAAGAAAAGTACAGAGAAGAACAGGAAGGCTGAAGAAAGCTGGGAACATAAAACTGATGAGTCTAAAAAATCGCTTGAAAAACAGGAGGTCAAATTTGTACCTGGAAGAAAAGTTAAATAAAATTATTTTTGTATTAACAAATAAATCCGTTAATAATAATAATACAGTGCAACCTAGATTCTAGAATGTCCCACATTCAAATCAGTTTTTGAACAGAAAATTAGAGATGAAAATGCCTCGGTTATCAAACAAAATGTTGGTTCTCGAACAACATTGCCGAACCAAGTTAACCCGAACGGAAAAATTTCTGAGTGAACCTCTGCATTGTATGCATTCATGTGTTGTGTTTTTCTTTTCCAATTGTATTGTACTGTAACTTTTTTTCTTTACATTGATTCCCATTGGAAAAATAGTTTTGGGTTATGAATGGCCGTCAGGAACGAATAAATTCATGAACCAAGGATCCACTGTACTACAATTTCCTGAAGATATTTTCAATTGTAAAATACTTCAAATAGCTTTTCATTAATCTTAAGTAAATTGGCAATCTTTATTTTCAAGTTTAAAATGCAGTTATATTTTTTTTGATGAATAAATATTAGGGAAAAATCATTTTTGAATCCTCTTTTACAAGTTAGTGTTTTCTTATATAAGAACATGGAAGCTCATTATCAATCAACATGATGGGTTATTACTAATTAAATTTAACATTAAGGTGAGAGCCTTTTATCATGATTTTGATAAATGTAACTATACAAATATAATTATGCATCACTATCATGAAAAAGTTCAAAATAATTAAAAAGACAAATACTTTACATGTAATAACAGTCATTTGTATGTGTTGAGTACTTTTGTTTATTCATAAAAAAAATAAACAAGAAAATTTATATTTGAAGCCATTACATATTATAATTTTATCATGAGTGTGTGTGTATACATGCATGCATTTTTTTTTATTACTTCAAATGCTATTTTTAGCAGATACCCGTGTTTGAAATAGATGCCCTGTTTTTTATATTATTTTAAACTGTGTATTGTTTATTGGATTGCACACTTGAGAAAACTTAATAAAGAAAATATGCATTATCCTTTGTAGGAGAAACACCCCCACTTCTGTTTGATCCAACATGCTTTAGACTGCTCGGCTAATAGAGAACATTACAGCCCAGCAAGGTTCTGAATGAGGAAGTGTGCATTCCTTAAAAAGGTAAATAGACTGTTTTCTTGCTGAACAAAATGTATTGTAAATGTTTTCCTCTTACCATCCCTTTATTAATTATATATATATATATATATATATATATATATATATATATATATATAAAAATTCCCAAGAGGATAGAATCCAGGTAGAACTCAATGTCCGGGAGAGAGTAAGAATATAATATAAAAGGCTCAAACACTAATATTCCATGGCTATAATTTATTACATTGGAATCTGTAATAGATGTGACAGTGACTTACCAGGAGCAAAACGAATTTGCTGCCTCACGTGTCGAACCATTCTTTGAGAGTTGGTTGCACATGCGTACGCCTACTGCCATTTTTATGCAGCAGACTTATTTGCATAAGAGAACAATGCTACCTATTCAAAACCAGGCGAGTGGACGTGGGGGGAGGGGCACAGCTCTTCTAGGATTCGGTGAGACTAGACGTATTGCTGAAAGAAAGCGACAGCAATTTCTGGACATCTGACAAGCTATTTCGGCGAATATGGACAGCCGGTTTGATTTTAAAATTGTTCCCGAGTTTGACAGGACTGGATCTGTGGTTGAATGGCTCGGGAAGTTGGAATTGATGTGCGACCTATCGGGAGTGAAGCGGCTTGATCGTGTCAGCTCTCTTCGCTTAACCAGGGGAGCATTCGCGGTTTACCAGCAACTATCTATGGAAGAGAAATCGGATGTGGCTCGAATCAAGGGAGCATTGATGACAGCAGTTGCCCCTGATAAATTCACGGGCGCATTTAACAATTGAGGCACCTGTATTGCATCCGGGTGAGACCGTAGATGTATATTTCGCAGATCTACAGAAGCTGTCCGTCCTTTTTGGAGGAGTGCCAGACAGTGCGATGGCATGCGTGGGCTTCCTGATCCTGTGAAAAGGCTCCTGCGGTCCTTGGCCAGGGCGGATGATATGTCTCTCGAGGAGCTATTGGCCCGAGCTCAGGCAATCATAAAGGACGAGACAGCAGAGAGGGAACCCGTCATTGCTGCAGTGCAGCCCTCCCAGACTCTTCGATCTTCCCCAGACATGGGCCCACTTGTCACATGCTATGAATGTAATGGGCCCAATCATTTTGCGAGGGACTGCGTGAAGAGGCGAAGGGCAACTAACGCGCATTGCTATCGATGCAACAAGACCGGTTATCTGGCCAAAAATTGTCCGGGAAACGGAGGCGGGGATGAGACTTCAGCGCGGTCCACTCCTCAAACAGCAAGTAAACTCGGTGTACCCATCATTGCTGTGTGTGTTGACGGCACACCATGCTCGGCTCTCCTTGACTCTGGGTGCTCACGGTCAATCTTGAGCGCGAGTTTATGTCGGTCTTGGTCAAAGCAGGGTATGGCGGTATCTACATTAACCGGAGATACACAGGCTTGCTGTGGAAGGGGCACCGTCAGAAGTATTTTCTCCATGCGTGGCTGGCTGGTGGGACACTTCCCCGTGTGTGGATGGCTGCGAGTGGCGACAGGCGTCATCAAACGTCGAGCCACTGCCGTAACGCAAAACTGGGACGACAAATTTTTTGATGCTCCCCTGGAATGTATGATAACGGACACCCTCGCCCGGGCTCAGCAACTGGATCCTGCACAGGGAGAATGGTGCGTGAATACGAATGAGCTAAATGTGTGGGTGGACGCGAGTTCGCTGGCTGTAGGAGTAGCACTCGAGGCTAATGGAGCCATCATCGAGGACGCATGCTGGCTACAGCCAATAAAAAAACACCCAGTATATCAATGTGGCTGAACTGGATGTCGTGCTGAAGGGAATCAACCTCGCACTAAAATGGCAGGCTACGGTATTACATGTGAACACAGACTCCCTCTGCGTGTACCATTGGGTGACTAATGCCCTTACGAGAAAATCTCAGCTGAACACCAAGGCCGCTAGCGAGATGCTCATAAGGCGACAACTTGAAACTCTAACTTCTCTTGTGAAAGAGTATAAACTTTCGGTTGACATAGCTCTAGTTAGATCCGACCAGAACCGAGCTGACTTGCTGACTAGAGTTCCCCAGAGGTGGTTCAACAATGTGAAGGAACTCGAACCTGTTCAACCAGTATGTGCTTTTGCCGTAGGAAACCCGAGCCCTGCTCAGTTAACTGAGATTCATCGACACAGTGGGCACCCTGGAGTTAAACGGACACTATATTTCACACGTAGGATCAACCCGTCCGTGTCGAAAGCAGCAGTGAGATTGGTCATTCGGAGTTGTGAACAGTGTCAGTCAATAGATCCAGCTTCTGTGCGAAGGCAGAAGGGAGAGCTCAGTGTGCGTGAAACTTGGAGCCATCTAGGAATGGACATCACACATTATAACGGTCGCCATTTTTTGACTCTGATCGATTGTGGCCCCACACGGTTTTCGATCTGGCAGCTGCTAGTTCGGCAAGATGCTGCACATGTAATCCGGCAATTGGAGTTGGTGTTTTTCGAACGTGGTGCCCCAGTGGAGATCCTGGCTGATAATGACACTGCATTCTGCAGTCAGCAATTCAAACAATTCACAGAAGAATGGAGCGTCTGATTCCGACCGTGCTGCGCATACAAACCATCTGGAAATGGTATTGTAGTGAGGTGTCATCGGACAATCAAACGAAAGAGCTGCTCTATTATGGAGGCCGTGTATTGGTATAACATCACCCTCAGGGATGACGTGTCTGCCTCTTCTGCGCCTGCCAATCTGCTGCATTTGTACAAAATTCGAATAAAAGGAATTGACGTTGTGCCCTCACCTAACCAGGTGACTTCGACTCGGTATAAAGAAGGAGACGCAGTTTGGGTAAAAAATCCGCACGGACGCTGCACGTCAAAGTTTGTGAAAGGTCATGTCACGGGGATAAACAGTCCACAGTCAGTAGTCATCAACGGGATACCGCGGCATGTGGGAGATGTACGCCCATGGCTCACTTACCAGGAGCAAAATGAATCCGCTGCCTCGTGTGCCGAACCATTTTCTGAGAGTCGGTCGCGCGTGCGTATGCCTACTGCCATTTTTATGCCGCAGACTTATTTGCATAAGAGAACAACGCTACCTATTAAAAACCAGGCGAGTGGACGTGGGGGGCACTGCTCTTCTAGGATATAATGTGCACATTACTGCAAACAAAATATTACTTAAAAGATGTAAAAAACATACTTGTTTTATCTCTCCACTTCAGAAAAAAACAAAAAAAACTATTATAGTTGAATTTGGACATTGATCGATTTGAGGCATTATCCAACATCTTTTGTCTCAAGTAAAGTCACATAAACCAATCTTGGATTTTTCTTACCTGCTTACAAACATAATTATTTCTAATTTTCCTTTCTTTTTTTAAAAAAAAAAAACAGAAAGATGTCATCCCTTCATTTCAAATTGGTGAAACAATTATCAGCACAGAAAGTGGAATCAAATTCCAGGTTTGTCTGTTGGATTCACTTTTGCAGAAATACAATTGCGAACAATATGAACCCATCTCTTCTAGGGATTTACAGGGTTGACTTGCCTTGAGTGGCAACCAGTCTAAGAGAAGGAAAACTAAATTCTAAACCATGGAAAAGACAACATGAAATGCAACTATATTTCCAAAGAACACATAGCAATTTACATATAATAAAGAAAAGAAATATGTGGAGAGGCATTAAAAATTTTAAAAAAATATTTAGCATAGATGTTAAAACTTTTTTATTTAGCTACCATATAACTACTGCTTCTTCCAATAAGAAATCATTAGCATCCATTCTTACATTTATGAGTTTTTATATACCAGAACAATATTAAGGAAAATTAATGACGAAGTGGAAAAAATACCCAAATACATCTAAAAAAAAAATAAATGAATAAATTTAAAAGTTTAAAATTTCAATCTCTCCCCTTCATGTACATTTGTA